AAGAGTGGTCTGGGTATAGGTTAGGGGACTCAAGGCTGACACAGCATCTGAGCCCTGTGGGGAAGGAAGTACAGTTGTCAGAAGCCCCAAGTAGCGTCCTCTGGAGTCTAGCCATAGGAACTGAAGAGTTCTGGAAAATATGTTGAGCAGTGGTCAGAGAGTTCGCCACCTACTGGCTTGTTATCCGGGAGCAGCCATGAGGCCCCTCTGCACCTCTACATGCAGCCATACACATGTACGTCTGTACCTGTAGGGCAGCAGCTACGGAGCGCAGAAGAACGCACAATACTATGACTACCACTGCCACTCCAGGCCTCCAAACCACAGTTCAAAGGCTCAGCAAACCCTCCTCTCACTAGCTGCTGGCTCAGGGCCTACCTGGCACTGGGGTGTGGGGGGGTGGGTGGGAGGGGATGTACATTCCTTCACAGGCAAAACACACACACACACACACACACACACGCACACGCACACACACAGCTGGCCTTTTAAACAGGCACAGTTCCAATACCTAGGATGAATGCCTTGGGCTCTGTGAACACGACACACCACGGATGTGACAGAACTTTTTATCATCACCCCACAGGAAGGCCTTGCACAGATCAGCAGCAGAGCACTGTCCTGTTCCTGCTGCTCTAAGGAGGACGTGTTTAAAGATGCGTGGCTGTGGGCCTGTCACATGTCACAACTACTTAGACCAACACCTGCTGTTTAGGTGAGCTGAAGGCAGTAACACAGCACAGTGCTCACGGAGGCTGTCTTAGGGCTTCTACGGCTGTGATGAACCATATGAGCAAAGGCAGCTTGAGGAGGAAAGGGTTCTGCACCATAGTCCCTCATCAAACACCACAGTCCGTCACCAAAGGAAGTAGGGGCAGGAACTCAAGGCAGAGCTAATGCAGAGGCCACCCAGCTCCTCATGGCTTGATCAACCTGCTGCTAATACACCCCCAAGTCCACCACCACCAGGGGGAGCACCACCCACAGTGGCATGGGCCCACCCACATCCATCAGCAATCAAGATAATGCCCCAGGGGCTTACCCATAGGCCCTGATGGGACATTTTCCCAAATGACTCTAGCTTATGTCAAGTAAACAAGACACTAGCCAGCTCAGGGACTAAGATGGAACGTAACAGGGCAACGTTGCCATGAACGAAGAGCAGATTCAGTGCATTCACAAGATGCTTAGAGCTACGGTGAATCACACACAAGCAATAGGAGGCAGCATGCCAAGTACATTACTGATAGCCGTTTTGAGGCGATAGACCCTGAGTTATTTTTTCTTTTCTAAAATTTATTTATTACATTAATTATTATACTAATTTTACAACACACGCTGAAAGCAATGTCATCTTTATAATACTCACTACACAAATAAGCCTAGAAGAAGCTAAAACTAAATTTAGTTAGCTATGTTTCCATGTATAAAAGATGTTACAGTTATACTTCAGATGTCTTAAACTTTTTGTTTTTATTAAAATACTGTCTTGTGGGGCTGGAGAGATGGCTCAGTGGTTAAGAGCACTAACTGCCTTTCCAGAAGACTTGGGTTCAATTCTCAGAACCCACTGGCAGCTCACAACTGTCTAGTAATTTCAGGGTCCAACACCCTCACACAGACATACATGTGGGCAAAACATTACTACACAACATAGAAATTTTAAAAAAAAATTTAAAAAAATACTGTTTTGTGGGGGGGCTGTGTGAGAGACTGAACCCAGGGGCTCATGTTAAACCCATGCTTTACCACTGAGATACACCCCTAGATGAGATTCTTTTCTTTGTATATTTAGGTATGTATATGTATGTCTGCATGTTCAGACAAGCGCATCTTCATGTGTGTGCCTTCCTGTTCATATGTATATATTCTCATGTGTTCATCTGCATATTCTGATGCACATTTGCATGTGTGGCTGCATGTGGAAGCCACAGGCTCACGATTAAACATATTCCTTAATTGGTCTCTACTGTATTTCCTGAGGCAGGCTCTAGCTGAACTGAAGGCTCACTGATTTGACTAGTCGACCTCGCCAACTTGCCCCAGGGTCCCTGTCACTGCATTTCTCAAACGCTACGATTATGGGAGAGCTGACACACCGTCCGGTTTTCCTGTGGATCTGAACCCCAGGCCTCACGCTATGGCAATGGCTTGTTTGCTGATTGTCTCTCGGGCCTGAGGTACTTTGTGAATGCAATATTAATCCTGACATGCCCAGTGCTATTCCCTCCCTCACCTGCTCTGAGGCTGACATACGTCTCTGTTTATCTAGTAGATTTTAAAATGGTACATGATGCTATCAAGATGTCCATAGTCTTTGGCAACCATAACTGCTTCACCTCATACCTGAACATCCTCATGCACGCATGAGCAGAGCCAACACTCAGGTGCACACTGGCAGGAAGATGAAGTGCAGCTTCATGGAGCCTGCACACACAGACCGCCAGCAACCCCAGGCCTGACCAGGGAAGAGCTGAACCCTCCAGGACCTCCTCAAACTTGGTGACTGACCAAAATGATCCATCTAGCAACCCAAGCTTTGCCTTTTACACACACACACACACACACAC